TGCGTAGGCTCTGCTGTTCCATTCTGCGTGTAGATTTTATAAAAATTTACAATCATTAGTGCAAGCACTTCTTCCTTTTATTCGTCCTTTTCCTCTAATATATTCAACATCACTGTTCTGTTTTCAGAGCAGTCATGGAGAAGTGCAGGCAGAAGACATGAAATAACCTCCTCAGTTAATGTGCTCACCATTTCTGTGTTTCTTTGACCACAGTTGGGTTTGGAAAGCTGGAAGCACTCTGTGGCTGCAGAAGATCAGGGAAGAGTTCCTTATGTCCTCATCAGCATGGCTTCTGGCACAGCCTCATGCCATGAATGGCTCATCTTGCCCAGACCTTATCCCATGTTAGCAGAGAAAATTGCTGGCAAATTGCTGGACCATTTTTACCTTTGCCCCAGTCTTCAAAGAAAGGAGAGACTTCTCACCATGGGATCTTCCTCCAAAGGCCTGAGTCTGAAGCAACCAATTCATGTGGAGCCAGGCACCTTTCAGCTTCTTGATGTAGCTTGGACTGTGCTGTAGACGCCTAGAAAGGACGCCTGGTGGCCAATGGCTGAAGGTGAGTCAGCATTGTACCATTGTGGCAAATCAAACCCACCGCAATCTGAGAAGTCTTAGCAAAAGTGTGGCCAACAAACCCAGGGAATCGATCCTTTTCCTCTGTTTGGCACTCCTGAGACCATGCCTGGGGTCCTGTGTTCACTTTGGGGATCCTCAGTGTGTAGGAAGGATATTGACATGTGGGAACAAGTCCAGCAGAAGCCCCCAAGGCACTCAGGGGGCATGAGGACAAGCCAGGCTAAGAGACCTTTAGGAAAAGAAGGCTCAAGGGAGACCTTCTGGGTATCTATGTGCTCTAGGGATGTGGAAAAGATGGGTCGAAGCATTTCTCAAAGTGTACAGTGAAAGGATGAGAAGCAACGGACAAAATTTAGAACCTGGAAAATTCTATTTAGACATTAGAAACTTTCCTTTTGCTTGTTTTTTTTGACCCTGAAAATTCTCAAACACTGGAGTGGGTTTTCTAGAGATGTCATGCAGGCTCTGGCCTTGGAAATTTTCAGATCTTGGGCATAGCCCTGACCATCCTGATCTAATGAGATTTGCTCTGAGCAGGGACTTGGAATGGGTGACCTGCAGAGAGCCTGTCAGCCTTCTATAGTTCTTTGGAAAAAGTAAAAATAGTTTAATTGATTTCTTTCTTAAAGGATAAAAGTAAGGAAAGGATTAATGCAGATTAAATTTGTTTTTAAGAAACTAGGAATGGAAGGGTTGTTATCAAGTGGAAAGGCTGGTTTTGTTGTTTGTTTCTGGGTTTGTGGGTTTTTTTTTTCCAGTGAGTTTTTGAAGAGACTGTTTTATGAGATGGAATGGGACAATGTGACAGGAATCATCATTTATTGATTTCTGAGGTATCTCCCTTTGGACAGAGGGAGAAAGTCTCCAGTGCCTGGGGGGGCTAAGTGGGACAGTTGGTGCCAGCAGGGTTTTGGAGTGTTGATCATTCTGTTTCTGAGAACTGCAGCCTTGAGTGTACTGACAGGAGCTTGGAACTAGACATCCTGCGGGTGCGGGAGAAGCCAACCCCATCAAGGGCTTGAGGTTAGTGGGACAAGAGACAAAAGCATATGAAAGGAAAGACTCCCAAGGCGTTGCACCGGAGGATGTGTCAGAGAGGTTGGTCTATCCCTCTTTTACTCCTCACTTGGGAAAAGCAGAAAATAATTCTGCATTCGCTTTTCCTCTGTTATGTAGCCTAGGACAGAAGAGTGTTATGGTCCTTTCCTGTCCACCTTAGGTACATGGAATGACAAGCTGCAGCAAGCTTTGTGGTGGTGTACTCCCAGAAGACTCCTAAAGAGAGCTGCCTTGTCTGGATGAGGTTGGGTGCATCTTGGAACCATCCATATCTGCTGTAATCCAGTTTTCTCTCTGTGAGTGTAAAGTGCCCTTTTTTCTTAGGAAATAAGGAAAATGCAGATGCTGCTCATGATGATGATGATCATTATTGCATAGATTTGATGAAAGCTTTTTTAGACTCTAAAGTTGGTGCAGCCTGGTTCCTCTCTGGGGTTGCAGATTATCCTGCCAGAACAGGACACACAGCCAGATTCTGATGATAGACCTGTTGGCCTGGGGCACCTGGTGGTGTTGCCCGTGGCTGCATTGGCAGGAAAGGGCCCAGCTGCTCCCAACCCTGAAATCTTTGGCTGGTCACTGGAGGGCTTCACTTGCATGAGGACATGCTATAGCTTTCTCTTTCTCTCCCTCCCTCTGAACACATTGAGGACATTTCCCTGTGAAGGCTGCCTTCTCCACTCCCAAGTCCTGAGGGAGCATTGAAGAGTGCATTTTGGCCCCACCCTCAGAAACAGCAGGGGCAGAGGAAGCAGCAGTCCACCTCATGGCTTCCATGGAGCACATCACACAGTGGGACAGGCTGATCCAGAGGTTTGGAGTTAGACAGAATCTAGAAGGATACAGAGTTATTAGTTTACATCAGGCATTATTCACACATGAAACTTGTTGAAACTTCAGATTTGACAGGCAGAAAGAAGGTGTCCTTTTGTGTGCTGAACAGAGTGAGAAAAAACCTGCAAAATGGAAATGGCAATGATGTTTTAAAATCCTTTGGGGAAAATTTGGACAGAAACCCAAACTACTCAACATCAAGATTGTAAGACAACCAAAGTTGTGTAGTTACCTCTTTTCTCCAGCTTATAATATGTCCTTTTGTGTTTTTATTGGTGAAGATAAGGCCACTGTCTCATGGAATCACGCCAAAGCGTACATGACCCTGGAGTACAACACTGACTGTTCTGTAACTTGCTTCACAGCAGGATAGAGCTTTACGAACATTCAGGTACACTGCCAGACCTTGCCTTGACACAGCCTCTGTGGTATCTGTGAGTCATCCAGGAAAGTGGGACTACCCTGCTCAGTGAGTTGACAGGCAAGTGTCTACTAGATGACCATATAGTGGAGTTTGTCATCAGGCCCTAAATCTTATAGCTTCTTGCAGTCTAGAGAAAAGTGTAACTTATAGATTAAAGGCATCACTCTAAAATACAACAAACAGAGGAAAGATCAATTTTGAGACACTGTGAGATCTCATGTTGAATTGCAGTGTAAATCTAGATAGTGACAACCTTATAATGATCATGACAGGGCAGCACTGTATCACCAGAAATAAGCATAAATGGGCAATAGAAACCAAGGCCCCTTTGGAAGATGCAGAAGGTGTTCTATGACAAAAGAGTACTGACTGAAAATGTAAGTCTCCTTTAAGCCTTTTGATCACAGGCATACACTGGAAGTACATCTTTTCTGCGATCCTAGAAAGGCATAGCAACTGTGGGATAAAGTTTTTCTTGTAAAAAGTCATTTGGAGAATCACAGAATGGTTGAGGTTGGAAGGGACCACTAGAAGTCACCTTGTCCAACCATCCTTCTGAAGCAGGGTCACGTAGAGCAAGTTGCCCATAACTATGTCCTGATGGATATTGAATCACCAAGGAAGGTGACTCCACAACATCTCTGGGCAGTCTGTTCCAGTGTTTAGTCACCTTCACAGTAAAAAAAGTATTTCCTGATGTTTCAGATAAGTCTCCCTCTGTTTCAGCCTGTTGTCACTGCCTGTGGTCCTGTCATTGGGCACCACTGAGAAGAATCTTCTTTGCACCTTCCCTACCGTTATTTATATATGTAGTGTATTGGATTTGATGACAAGGATTTGGTAGTAGAGGGAGTTCCAGGCGTGGCTTCTGTGAGAAGATTCCAGAGGTTTCCCCTATGTTGGATGGAGCCATTTCCAGCCGTCTCCAAGAGGGACCTGATGCTGGCCAAAGCTGAGCCAATCAGCAACCTTGGTAGCACTTCTCTGATAACATATTTAAGAAGAGGTAAAAAAACTACTGTGCAACAGCAGCTGGGAGAGAGGAGTGAGAATATGTGAGAGAAAACAACTATGAAGACACCAAGGTCAGTAGCAAAGGAGTGGGAGGTGGCATGGGAGCAGGTATGTAAAGCAGATACACAAAGATTCCCCTGCTGCCCATGGAGGTCCATGGTGGAGCAGATATCCACCCCGCAGCCTATGGAGGACCCCATGCAAGAGCAGGTGGATGTACCTAAAAGAAGCTGTGACCCCACAGAAGCCTGGAAGAGGTTCCTGGCAGGAACTGTGGTCCCATGGAGAGGAGCCCATGCAGGAGCAGGTTTTCAGGTAGGACTGTGGCCCCACAGGGGACCCACACTGGAACAGTGTGTTCCAGAAGGACTGCAGCCTGTGGAAATGAATCATGCTGGAGCAGTTTGTGAGGAACTACAGACAATGGGAATGACAGACGTTGGAGAAGTTTGTGAAGGACTGTCTTCCATGGGTGGGACCCCCACACAATCTGGGGAAGAGTGTTAGGAGAAAGGAGCAAAGAAACAACATGTGATGGACTGACTGCAACCCACATTCCCTGTTCCCCTGTGCCACTTGAGGGGAGGAGGTAGAGAAGTCAGGAGTGAAGGTGAGACTGGGAAGAAGAGAGGAGTGGGAGAAAGTAGTTTTAGGTCTTCCATCATCCTGCTCTGATTTTGATTGGCAATAAATTAAATCAATTTCCCTAAGTCAAATCTGTGTTGCACATAACAGTAATTTCTGAGTGATTTCCCTGTCCTTATTTAGACCCATGAGCCTTTCATCATATTTTCTCCCCATGCCCAGTTGAGGAGGGGGAGTGATAGAGCATCTTGGTGGGCACCTGGCAGCCAGCTAAGGCCAACCCACCACACGCTAAGATAACCCTCTGAGCTTTCTCTTCTATAGGGTAACCTGTTGCAGTTCTCTCAGCCTTACCTCATAGGAGAGATACCCCAGTCCCTTAGTTATCTTTGTAACCCCTCAAGCGTCCATATCTCGCTTGTACTTAGCAGCCCAGAACTGGAACCGGTGTTCCAGGTGTCACCTCACCAGAACTGAGTAGAGGGGAAGGATCATCTCCCTCTACCTGCTGATAACAGTCCTCTTCCCGTAGCCCAGGTCACTGTCAGCCTTCTTGAGGAAAGTGCACATTTCTGCCTCATGATCAACTTGATGTCCAGCAGGAACAACCCAGGTCCCTTTCTGCAAAGCTGCTTTCCCACTGAGCAGCACCCAGCACAGAGAAACGACCCTGTCCTCTATCTTGGTCCTGTGGTTCTGGCTGTGTGTGGGATCTGTGTCAGGGCAAAACCCCCACACCACAGGACCGCAGGGTCTGCACTTGTGGGAAGGCCCTTGTCTGTGTGTGTGGAACAGCGGTGCTGCAGAGCTCAAGCACCGCTTCAGTTCCAGGGTGCTGGGAATGCTGAAGGAGCTTGGTGCCTGGGGGAAGACACCCCACCGTGTGCACTGTGGTTGAACTGGTGTGTGCCATGTGCCATTCAGAGACAACTCACAGATCCTGCTGAGCACATAATCACATCCCACTGTCGGTGCCATATCTCCACAGAGCTGGGAATGTCTCCTCTTAAACAACACCTTTCCAGAGCAGGGTTGGGTTGTGGCACCTGTGGTGCCATAGAGTTTCTGGGCCTCAAAAAAGCTGTTCTCTGCTTGGGGAAGACAAAGCAGCACAGCACAGAGCAGTGTTGTATCTCTGGGTACCTGCCTTCATCCAAGGGGGCGTTGTGTTCACTGAGACAGGGGACTCCAGTATGTAACCTGCTGTAGCTGATACCAGTACTGACTTGTGAACACCTCAGCCCTACAAATGTTGGCCACAGATGGACCATGCCAGATGCTGGAGGATGATAGGGCAGCATGGGGAAGCTGGCCCTGCTGCTCATGCCATAGCATGCTGACCGTGGTCTCTAAATCAGGTGATAGAGGGAAGGAGCAGGTGGAATAGGGACCGTGGGCCATCCCCAAAACTATTTACCAGTTCTCAATTCCTGCCGTCCTATGGGAACACTGTCTTCTGAGCCTGCTTGCACAACACAGCTCCACAAAAAGCAAGAGGAACACTCTTCCCCAAGCATTTGTGGGATTGCTGACCTCCTAGTGCCTCCTACACACCCACAGTTCCTCTCTGGAGGACAGCAGTTGTCAGGATTCCAGTTCACATGAAATGGTCCATGGCCAAGGGGGTATTTCTGAGCAAAGTCTCAGCAAGGCAAAGACTGATCACCATGGGCAGTGGAGTAACTAGGGATGTCTTCCTCAGCTTCAACAGGCAGTGTCTGAAAGAGGACTCTCTGCAGTGTGTCCCACCCTCCAATGCCTCGAGGAGTGATGAAGGGTTCCTCTGTGCTCCCACGAAATTCCTCATGCAAAGCAACAGCTTTCTCCTTCTGCAGACAGTGTGCATATGGAAAGACCACATAAAGGACACAGGCAGGGTTGCAGCAATTGTTTAATGAGTCTAAAGAGGGAAATGAGGTCATGGCAAGTGGAGGCCCCCAGTGTGAGGACCATAAGGAGCAGACAAGAATGTGTTCCCCTTTTCCTGAGGCAGAGTTCCCACAGGGCATCTATTGACCTGCGCAGCAAAAGGACACCTGTCGCCTAGCAGTTCCCTCCAGGTTGGTTTCTGGAATCTCACAACAGACTTTGAGGGGAACACAAGAAAACAAAGAAAAGAGACAAAAAGGGTGAGTGGAAGACAGGAACATGCAGGGTAGACATTGGCTGTGTTTTCAGAGAGCCCAGGTTGACATCTTCATGTCTGCCCTTGCAGGGCAAGCCAGAGATGGTCATCTGCCCTTAAAACAATGACATTTAGTTTGATCCTCTGTCCAGCATGAAGTTCTGAGTTCCAAGGAATCCTTGTCTGAGGCCATTGAAAGCATCTTTAGCAGGGAGGGCATCTGCTGCCACAGTAGCGGCTGGTGATGCAGGACAGGTCACAGCACCCAGAGTTGATGTCTGCCCTTGCAGGGCAAGCCAGAGATGGTCATCTGCCCTTAAAACAATGACATTTAGTTTGATCCTCTGTCCAGCATGAAGTTCTGAGTTCCAAGGAATCCTTGTCTGAGGCCATTGAAAGCATCTTTAGCAGGGAGGGCATCTGCTGCCACAGTAGCGGCTGGTGATGCAGGACAGGTCACAGCACCCAGAGTTGATGGGCACTCCATCACAGCTGAGGATGCTGCCAACAGCAGCGGAGGTGGAGGATCCCACCACGGTGTTCTGAGGGAAGGAGCTGAGGATGGGGCCGGGCAGGGTCACCACCACGGGGGAGGGCTGGATGACGACGGTGGAGTTCTGGCACTGCCTGACACAGGGCTCATTGCAGCTGTTGGCCAGCGGGGTCGGGCCGCAGGGCTGGCAGCAGGGCTGGCACTGGTTGTAGCAAGACATGTCTCTGGGCAAGTGTTACACCTGGGAGACAGGGTAAAGAGGAAATAAAACATGGAGATGCATGAACAGGAGGCTGTCACCACAGTGGGGACCCAAGGCACAGGCAGGGCCAGGAGATGGAGTCTGTGCAGAGATTTATGAGGGCTTCTTTGCATCATCCTGCCAGGGTCCCAGAAGAGCCATCAGGTATTTTGTGGCTATTTCCCTGCTTGTAGTCCAAAAGCAACATTTCTAGCATCCTTCCCTGCCCAACCTTCTCCCCACTTCCCTCTCCCATGACAAGAAGCCCCAAGATCTGCCATAGAAGAGAACAGGTATCAGCTGAGATATCCATCAAGGTAAGACCTTCCTTTAGGGAAAGCAGAGAAGGAGAAGGGGCTTCATACTCACCTGACTCCCAAGGAGAAGGAGGCAAGAGAAGTAGATGTGAGAGCGAGGAGCTGGGCTGGCTTTTATATTGGACCTTAACAGCCCCAGGCTGCCAGAGACATCCGTTGCAGAGGTGATTATTTGCTGACAAGCTCATCTTGAATGCAAAACGTCCCAGCTAATGCTATGGGCTCTGTTTTGGCTTCCTGAATTGCTGTTTTCTCATTTCCTGTTTTATGCTAGGCCCATTCCCCAGTGGAGGCATCTGTTGCATGACAGGATGAAAGGTCCAAGCATTTCCGGAAAACACACAGTGTGGGCAGAGGACTCATCTCACTTGCTAGTAGAGTCCAGTAAAGGCAAATGATGTCAGTCTGGGTCACCCCTTTGGGGCTCTTTGGGGCCCAATTGTCAAGAAGTGGCTCAGCTCCACAGTTTGACTTTATTCCACCCATCACTTCTGCTAGGAAAATTCAGCTGGCCTGTTTTGCCTTCTACTTATCTGCACCAGGAAGAGGAGTGTGAATCCTATGTCTGGGTCCTTGTCCTTCTCCAGAATGTTCTAGCCCTGCCACAAGTATCCCCTGACGTTCACAGCAGGTTATGGTCCTATGTGTGTTCTTGTCTTGTGTACACTTGTGTGCAGCTGAGTTTGTGTGAATGCAAAAATGTGTGCATGATTCCATGCTGTTCTGCATGAGTGTGTGTGTGTGTGTTTCTCTCCTCATGACGGGTTGTGCTGCTCTTCTTCAGTCCTCCTTTTCCCACTGCTCCAAAGCTTACACTCTACTGATGATGATTACAGGCTCCAAGAAGGACTCTTTTACACCAATTTGGATCTGTAGTTTAATTCATTGTAAACAATATCAGGAATGCCTCAGCATGGCTGGAAGTCTCCATTCCTTGCTTCTCCAGACTAGGACACAGCTCTCCACAGGTCTAGGGAGTTCAATAGAATTGGGTTTGCTTTATGGACAGGGAGAAAGGCTGAGAAATCCTGCCAACCTCATTCGGTCTGTACCCAAGTGGATCTGCTTCCAGTGAAGTGTCAGTGCTATCTGGTGTGAGACACAGACCTGCCTGATGTCCAAATCAATGTCAGATGTACCTGTGCAGCTTATCAGCCTGGTGCTGTGTCAGGAAGCGGCTGAGGCCTTGGACTGAACAGGTACTGAACTAAAGGAACATGGCATACAGAAAAGGCTGAAGTGCTTAATGGATATTTGTCCTCAGTTTCTACTGGCATGGCTTCTCCTCAGGTTCATCATATACCTGAGCTTCCCGGTAGACTCTCTGGGAATGTAGCAGCACCCACTGTAAAAGAAAGTATTAAGGAGCTCTTACTACCATTTGAACACAGATAAGTCCATGGGACCAGCTGGGATACATCCAAGGGTGTTCAAGAAGCTGAATGCTCAGTGTCCACACAATGTCCCTGAAAAGAATCTCTCAGAAGCCTTTTCTAAACTCATGAAAGCCAAAAAAGTGACTAGGAGCAGCTCACATGGGTTTACTGAGGACAATCAGTGGACCATCCCTGAGGCTATTCCATCCATCCTCATTCCTGCTACTCTCTGGAGACATCTTCTCTCCTCTCCTCCTGCCCCAGCACAGCACTTCCCAGAGCAGGAGGCACCCCACCTCCATAAGCTTACAGGGTGGTTTGCCTACATGGCCTGGCACAGAGTCCTAGCTGTCACTTGAGGACAGCAGAGGTTTTTACAGGACCTGTGACTGGGTAGAGACACTGCAAGGCAAGGGGAAATGGGCAAAGACTGAAACACAGGAAATTCCATGTCAACTTGAGGAAAAACTTCCTTCCTTTAAGGGTGCAAGGGAACTGGAAGAGGCTGCCCAAAGAGATTGTGGAGTCTCCTTCTCTGGAGATGTTCAAAACCTGCCTGCATGCACTGCTGTCCAACCTCCTTTAGGTGAACCTGCTTTGGAAGGATGGTTGGACTAGATGATCTCCAAAAGTCCTGTCCAACTCCTACCATTCTGTGATTCTGTGATTCATAGAATGGTTCGGATTGGAAGGGACCTTAAAGCTCATCCAGTACCACCCCTTGGCACGGGCAGGGACACCTCCCACTAGACAAGGTTGCTCAAAACCATCCAGCCTGGACTTGAACACCTCCAGTGGTGGGGTAGCCACAGCTTCTCTGAGCAACCTGTTCCAGTACCTCACCACCCTCACAGGAAAAAATTTCTTCCTAATATCTAATCTAAATCTCCCCTATTTCAGTTTAAAACCATGACCCCTCATCATGTCACTACAGACCATTGTAAATGTACCTCCCCATCTCTCCTGTAGGCCCTCTTTAAGTACTGGAAATCCGCTAGAAGGTCTCTCTGGAGCCTTCTCTTCTCCAGGCTGAACAACCCCAAGTCACAGCAGAGAGGCTCTGGCTACTGGAAAGCCTTCATGGCCTTCTGCTGGACCTGTTCAACAGGTCCATGTCCTTCCTGTGCTGAGGACTCCAGAGATGGACACATAACTCCAGGGGGGGGTCTCACCGGAGCGGGACAGATGGGTAGAATCACCTCCCTGGACCTCCTGGCACACTTGTTTGGATGTTAATTTGATGTTAATTTTTGATGCTAGTTTTGATTTCCACTTGCTTAGGGGTATCTGGGTTTGTTTTGCAAACTGCAGAAGGATAGTATGCCAAAGAGGACCCTATGCAGTGTGTCGCAACTTCCCGTTCTTCTAGGAGTTGTGAAGGCACCATTTACACCCCCAGCACATCCCCTGACACAATCAAAGCCATTCTCCTTGGGCAGCTTGGGAGGCCATACACCAATGGAAAGATCACTCGGAGACCCAGACTGGGATGCAGAAATCTTTAATGAGTCAAAAGAGGAAACTGAGGTGACTCCAAGCAGAAGTCCTCAGTGCAGGGATCAGGAGGGGCAAGTGAGAGTCTTGCCCATGGTGAATTTCATGCAGGGCATCCATCTGCCTTTCCTGCAGAGTGCAGGCTGGCTTTGGAAAGTATAAGAGCCCACAAAGGAGAATAAATGAACAAAAAGAGAGAAAGGAGGTAGGTGGAAAAATGGAAGGAGAGACGTGGGCCATGTTTTCTAAGAGCCCAGGCTCTCCCTTTCCTGCCAGCATTTTCAGGAGGAGCTAAAGATGGTCGATTCCTGTGAAAGCAATGGCGTGAAGATTCATCCTTTGTCCAACACCATATCCAGAGCTCTTAGGGAGACTTGCCAAGAGCTATGCCCAGCAGCTTTAGCAGGGAGGGCACCTTCTGCCACAGTAGCGGCTGGAAATGCCGGAGAGGGCACAGCACCCAGAGTTGATGGGCACTCCATCACAGCTGAGGATGCTGCCAACGGCAGCGGAGGTGGAGGATCCCACCACGGTGTTCTGAGGGAAGGAGCTGAGGATGGGGCCAGGCAGAGTCACCACCACGGGGGAGGGCTGGATGACAACATTGGAGTTCTGGCACTGCCTGACACAGGGCTCGTTGCAGCTGTTGGCCAGCGGGGTCGGGCCACAGGGCCGGCAGGGCAGGCAGGGGGAGCACTGGTCGTAGCAGGACATCTTGTGGGGCCGGAGGTGCACCTGGAAGAGAGGACAGAGAAGAAGGAGAACAAAAGGGCAGGTAAGAAGCAGCCTGGTTACCCTGTCACAAGGAAGCCAAGGCCACCAATGAGTGGGAGGCTGGAGACCGTGCCAGGAGCCACATGGTCTTCGCTACCTCATCTGGCCAGAGCCCTACAAAGAGCAGCCTGACCCAAGGAAGCTCTCTCCTTGTGCATAAAGCAAAAGGCACCACAGTCACATCCCACCCTCTCTCTACGCTGACCTTCTACCCGCCTCCCTCTGTTCTGAAAAGACACTCCAAGACCCAACATTTGCCAAAGCCAACACCAGCAGAGAGGTCCACAGAGTGGAGATCTCTCTTTGGAAGAGAAGGAGTTTCAGACTCACCTGGTTCCCAAGGAGAAGAAGGCAAGAGAAGAGGATGAGAGAGCAGGGATTCAGGCTGGCTTTTATACCTGCCCTTCATTGCCGCAGGACCAGAGGTGCCCTTTGCAGAGGTAGCAATTTTCTGACAAGCTCGTCTTGGATGCAAACCATCACAGCTAATGATATGGGCTGTGTTTTCATTTCCTGCACCGTTGCCTTTTCATTTCCAGATTTGTGCCATGCCCATTTCCCTATGAAGCCTTCTTCTGAGCACCAGGATGAAAGGCCCCGGGGTTTCTAGGGCAGGAATGAAGCAATGCGGGAAGTATAGTGCTGGACATGTCCAGGGCAGGCAAGCGACATCAGCCTGGGTCGCTCTTTTGGAGCTGCTTGAAGTGCCGTTTCCTGGAAGAAGTTTTAGCCATCCTCACCTGAATGCCCATGGGCTCCTACCTATGAGAACACACCCTATAGGTGTCTTTCCCTCCCTCCTCAGCTCACCCCAATGGTCACGTGCTGTTTCCTTCCCAAGGTGTGTGCATTGTGCTGTTTGGTTTTGACCCCATCATGCCTAATACTGCCCTCAGGACAAAACTGTGGGCTGTTTTGACTTGATCCACTCCGTGCAGTCTGTGAGAACACAAACAACCTGTGGGCCTTGTCCTTCCCCAGAATGCTGTAGCCCTGGCAAGCATACCAGCGTCAAAAAGAATAAGGCAAAGTTTTGAGTCTAGGGAAGGAACCAG